CAGAGCGAGAAAAAACTATTTGGAATGATCACTTTTTTTTCTCATCAGAACGGACATGTTAATATATACTACTATAGTATTGCATATCAATTAAATCGAAAAGAAACAACGATAATACGAGAAATCAAAAAATATAAAAATACAGGTTATTTAATTTACTCCATCGCACTAAGTGAAATACCAAAAAAAAAAAAAAAAAAAAAAAAGAAAAAAACGTGTTGTGAATGAGTTTAGATATTTTTTTATTTTGTTTAGACATTTAATAATATTGGAGGAATAATTAATTGGAGATTTTTTTTTGAAATGTTTGCATAAAATGGAAAATGTTACTGACAAGGGGAGAAACTTATGTATTTTCATGAACACACACACACACACACGCACACACACACACACACACACACACATATATATATATATATATAGATATATTGTATATATAACATGCACAAAAACGCATATATATATATATATATATATAGCGTCACATTATTAACGGTTAAATATCTATCCAACAAAGGCAACAAATATTTAATGGAATTTTAACATTTTTTTGAATTATGACAAAATCTATCTTGGAATGTAATCCAGTTCATTCTGTAGAGATGTAATAGTTTGATAGCCATTTGTATGACTTCCTGAAGAAAAAGAAAAGTTTAAAATTAAGAAACGGCTTTTTTGGAAGCTTTAAATTGTTTTGTAAGGTTGAAAAAAAATAAAAATGTTTTAGAGTTTGCAAAAGGTAAAATATTACTAGAAATTAGAAAATAATATCAGTCAAATTTTAAACAGATAAGATTTCTATATAAGATCCTGATTGAGTGGAAGAATTAATTTTAAGAAGACTAGTAAAGGATCAGAGTTCTCTGAGATTCTGTTTCATAATACCATTTAAAATAAACTTAAAAATTCCTGGTATTTATACTTTTTAATTTTAACAAACTCCATGCTAATTGTAAGAACACTAGTTTGTGATGTTAAAAAAAAATATAGCAGCATGGAAATAGGTTAGCAAACCAACATGAATTTAGTTTTAACTACTAAAGAACCAACCAGTGGGATAAATAATGAGTCATTAGTATAGGACATAAAAGATAAACTATTTGTTCCGGCTTAAGAAAATAGTTAAAAGCTAATGCATCTATTAATTTAGTAAAATCTATATTTTCATAAATTCACCTACTGCAGATTTTATTTCTTCCCTTTTCATTGCATGTTAAATTTGGCATCAAGCAAGTCTCGATGTTATGGAACTTTCTTTTTACATTTAAAAAAAAAATTACTGATAGCTGAAGTTATTCGGAGAATTATGACACGAAAAATGATAAGTGAATGTTTAAATTTCAGAATTTGAAATATCCAACTACAGTCACCTTAAATTTACTCCATTAATTTTCAACCTATCATGGACTTCCTATGTTGACAATTTTATTAGTAACTAACACAAATCAAATCAGCAGCCTCACACTTGTGTGATACATAAGTTTAGATTAAAATAAGAACAATTTCTTAAACAGAATTTCGAACAAATGTGTTGCAATTAGCTTATCTTCTTGAAATAGGAGATGAAAAATTTATTCATGACTATAAAAATCAAGGATTAATTCAAAAAAAAAATTATAAAATCAATCTTTGCATTAAGATTATATTCCAAGTCGGTAACAGAGCAAATATAAGCTAAAACACGAGACAAATGAGAAACAAGACCAAATATTTATATATATATATCAATACTTTATAAATAAACACACAACAGATAAATACATACATAGAATAGGAATCACATATATAAAAATATATATTTATAATTTTGGTATGAATATATATATATCCAGTGGTATATATAATAATGATAGCAACAATGTAACCAGAACCATGTGGAGGGAGCATGTTTATTTTTTGAAAGCTTTTTTATTTTTTCCCCCGTATCCCAATAAAATGCATAGCTGTGAGGCCCTGAAAACCTATTTTCTTGGGTAAGTTAAATCCGACAAAGTGAAAGAAAATGGACAATAGAACAAGGATATTCAAAATTAATGCTAAGTTTCAATCCACAACCACTGGTACAGATTTAGGTATATTGGTCTGTTGTTATTTAACCAATAAGCTTAAGAAAAAGCAGATGAAAATGCTAAATCCCTGGATAAAGTCAGAAGGTATACCACACGTTCAAAGTCATGACGATAAACAAAAAATACACTTGACCAGAATGCTGAAGCATGCATTCGTTCTGGTTATTGTCTGATGGTTGGCTAGAAATTAAAATTTTGTTTTGTGTCACAGGCCGTTGGACATTTACTTAGAATCATTGAAGATGAGGTTTATTTAAAAACCGCTAGCAATCTTGATAATCATCCTTGGTTAATGGCTGCTTCACAATAAATAAAAACACAAAGACAAAATAGGCGCCCACAAACAGTTATTAACTGTAGTGCAGACATATTTATGGACTGTCAAAAGTTGCTCTAGAAATTTCACAAACATAAGAATTACAAAGCCAGATTTGTTAAAAACCCACAGACCTCAAGATAAATATCCTATCCAATCATAGAATTTATTAATACATAAAAACCAGATTAGACAATAACAAAAGAAAATCTAGATATTATAGTGTCAAAAACTGTTCCAAGTTTGTGCTATAAAAGTGAGAGTGGAAAAACATGCTAATGAGTTTTTTTTGTGGAAAGACTGAAAAGTCAAATGGAGCTAACATCTTTAAGAACTACAACACTGCCAATAGCCAACGAGTACATTTACTGTATTAAGTTATCAGGAACACAAGTTAGAAAATCCACTACCAAATTTTAGATACTTATATTTAAGTTCAAAACACTAGCAAGATAATATTCTAGCAATCATGTCTTTGCCAGATGAGCCAAAATATACCCTTAAAAGTGATAGCCTGAAAATATCTATTATCACCATAATAAGAATTATCATGTTCCATTTTCTAAACTAACTCCAACATTTTTTAAAATCTGATATGTTCAATGAATAACTTTTAATAAAGTTATTCAAGTATAAAAAAAAAAAAAAAACTTATAGTAAAAAAATACAAATAATACTTTAACAAATATTGATACTTAAATTTGAATTTTAGTTCAATATTGTCAAATCTGTATTACAGAATATAAAAGTGGAAAACCGAATCATAGAGTTAAAATTTTTAAATGAAAAAACATACAAGAGATTTTTTTTCAAAATGTACTCAAGTAGACAGAGAAGTCCATTACTGTAAAGTATTAAACAGCCAATCACTGAATCCACAGATATGTTTTTAAAACAGAAAGATGGGGATCTAAAATAAGCAACTATACATTGAAAACCTGTCCGTCCACTCTTCAGTGGGTATCAAAATTTATTGCTTATATTTTTCGAATTTTTCGTTTTATGCATTTACCCATTTGTAACTTTTTTCCTCATTGTTTGAAAGGTGTGTGCGAGACCAGTTTCGCGCGTGCAACGCGAATATGCCTAAAATAAAGATGTCGGAAAAAATTGGTTCTTTTTAGTTTTTTTTTTAGTTTTTTTTTTTTTTTTTTTTTACTTTACACTCGCTCATTAGCTTTTTTTACATTTGCTGTTTGCGAGTTAAAACAAAACAGACATACACCATTTTTAATTATTGGGGCGTTTTTGTTTTTTTTAGAGAAGTGGTATTTCATTTTTTACATAAATAATTGCCATTAACTATTAAATGATAAATATCTTATACATCTTCATTAGGCTACTATTTTGTTTTCTTATTTGGTTTGGTGGTACCATAAAAGTATTAATTGTAGAAAGGTTAGATTTGTAATTAAATTTTATTTATTATATGTTTGAATTGATGTGCATTTTCTGTATTTATACACTCATGTATACATATGTGGGCATACATGCATACAAAGAAATATATATATATATATATATATATATATATATACAAAGATTAACTTCATTATTAAGATAAAACTTAAATGTAAAAATTTGATATCAGTAACTGATAAAATCTATTCTTATTGATGTCCCTACAACAAAGACAGAATTATTATGATCATCAATTATAACATAGTTGAGGTAATTAAATACCTTCATGTCAACCTGATGAGGATGAGAAAAATAATAATGAAAATGTAATTATTTTGAGACAATTATTTTAGAATAGGAAATGTTTTTGAAACTTCAAACGATGATGTGGCTTCGCCAAATTGGTAACAAAAAATGATAATACAACTACTAAGGAAGGCGGGCGATGTGGCAATAATATTAGTGGTAGGAATGACATGGATATCTTTTATGATGCTGGTGGGCTGAGGTCACAAGCAAATGAATACCAGGTAAATTATCGTACGAAACGAAATATAGCTAGTTGTGAAGGACTGATTGATAAGGCCGCAATTAAAGTTAATTGGGTAACACCACATGGTAACGTGAGCCTGTGCGTGCGGTGTCGAATGATCAGGAGGAGGGGAAGTTGACCCAGGCCGGAATTAAAGTGCATGGGCCGGTAGGTCGGGGATGGAACTTTTTGGTTTGGGAAGGGGTAGAAAAGGAAACCTGAGTGTCTTTTTAGGAAAAAATAAACACGCACACACACACACATTTATATATATATATATATATATATATATATATATATATATATATATATATAAAGAGAGAGAGAGACATGTATCTATGTTTATAAAACATGCAATCTAACGGTGGTAGAAAGAAAATAGATTAGTATATGTGGAGTTAAAATGTTAAAATAGAAAAATAGAAGAAATAAAATTTAAAAATATTAGGAGATAGTAAGGAGAAAGAGATAAAACAGAAGAAAAATAATTAAATGAAGTTCATTGAAATCGAGAAAAATATTTTAAAACAGTCCATAGTGGTTAACGAAACAAAGAGACAGAACTAGCGAAAAACAAAGAGTCGGTAGAAATATGAAGGAAGAGAGAACGCAGAAGTTAGTTAGATAAAATAAATGTAAAATAAGCGAGAGAATAAAATGGACAAGTGAAAAGTAAATATTAAGAAGATGACACTAAACAGTAAAAAAGAATTTTAAAAAAGAAGAAATGGAAGGCTGGAGTCTGTGCTCGTCCTGAAAAGAAAAAAATGTTTCGTGAGAGTAAAGAGTAAGAAACACATGGGTAAAAAGAATCATTGACAGAAAAACAAACGAGAAAAGAATGAAAAGAGATGGTAAAGAAGATCGAGGGGAAAGAGATGTTTAGAGAAAACAGATTTGAATAGAAAACAGAAGAATAAAAGTACAAAAATAACAGTAGATGGGTGCTGGAATGAAAAACAAGGATAGAATGAACAAGAAAAAATAATGACTGACCGAATTGAACACACCTGAAATTACCGCAATGAAAGCAAAGAAATAATATAATTCATTTGATTCTGTTTCGCCGTTTAACATTTGTCTGATATTTTCAAATAAATATTGTTATTGATCAAGATATACAAAAGAATCTAAGAAGCAGTAGAAACAGAAAGAAATACGGAAGTTAGGAGAGAGATAGAGAGAGATAGAGAGAAAGAGAAAAAAAAACAATAACAACAACAAAACAACATCATTTTTTCACAGTTTATATCTGAAACTCAATTAACAACAAATAACACTACAAGATTATCATTGGGGGAAAACAAAACAAAACAAAAAAAAAAAAAGCAACAACATTTGTCGACAACACATTTAGTGAAAACCAAACATTAAAAAAAATCATTTTCTTTAAAAAGAACGAAACGATTTGAAATGTCCTGAAAAGGATTCCACGCCGAATCCAGGGAATATTTTGTACGATTTTTTTTTAACAATTCACCTGGATAACGATTACTAAAAAAATAAAAAAAAAAAATAAAATAATATATATACATACATATATATATATATATATGTATATACACATGGAAGCACTTTTTTTTCTCAATTTTCGAAGTAGAAGCACTTACAGCGGTACAAAAAAACAAAAAAAAAAACAAAACAAAAAACAAAAAAAGAGATAAAATAAACAAAATTCATATGCACGCAATAATTAGCTAAACACAAAATACTTTCAACACGAAGAAAACTAGACAACAATCACTGCAAAAAAAACAAAACAAAAATATCTAAAACCAAAAACAAAGCAAGCATAACAAAACCACATTCTTTCTCTAGGAATTACAACGCGTTATCACTTACATATTAAACATATTTTATACGTATTAACACGTATAAACGCAAGCATACATTTATTCAGATGGAAAAAAAATGTGCATTACATACACACAGTTAAACATGCAAGTGTTCACACACGCGCACTTACATCAACAAAGAAAACACGCACACGTGCAGTAACACGATATTGAAAACTTCAAACAGGAGAAGAAAAAAAAACAGAATAAAAAACAGAATAAAAACAGAAAAGAAAATAGGAACTTTGAACCAAAGAAAACAATAACAAGGATTTAACACCTTTTTTTTTTGTCCACATTACACGCGGATTCTGGAACACGATTTGGAATAATCCATTTTATTATACCAAAACAAAACCTGCAATTATCATACAACGGAAAAAAAAAAGGGCAAAACAATTATATACACTTTGAGCTAACATTCCTATTGGATACTCAGGTATTCGTCTGATCTGATGTGAAATCTATTTTTCACTATTTCTTCATTTTTCTCTCTATCTCCACAGTCTTTCTATCAAAGTCTATCCATTTATCTATTTCTTTATTTCGACCCATTACATTAACGTTCTCTCATATTTTCGGCTATAGTTTTCAGTGCCAAATATATCTTTTCTTTTCATTTCCAACAATAAGAAAAAAAAAAGACTAGAAAGAAAGGAAGAAAGAAATTTATTTCTTCTTTCTTTGTCTGAATATAAAATTATTACCGTTGTATTCATCTTAACCTTCCAATCTTTTCATATATTTTTGTCATTCCCTCATCATTTTTTTCTCTGCGCTTATTGACCTCTCTGATCATTTAAGCAGTATTGCTTTTGTTCTAAACATAAGATAAACTAATGATCATAAACATAACAAAAAAACCCTCCCAAAAACAATTTTAAAACGTCAAGTAACAAATGAATAAACGCTAAATGTGCGGCGATATACACGCCTGTAGGAAATAAATGAAAATAGATCTAAAAATAGCACTACACCAAAACATCGTCCCTTTAACAACATTAACAATAACGACATATCAATTAACAATAATTACTTGATTAAACATCTTAAGAAAAAAAAACAAAAAAACAAAAACAATAAAATACTAGTTTATTATACAAACACAACAAACTATAGCATTAACAAATTAAATTAAAACACAAACGTCGCAATTGTTTCACTCGTATGTAGATAAGCAGTTTTATAGTTCATCATTCCATTTGGGTTTTCAAACATAGGACATAGAAGTCTAAAAGAAAACCTTTTTGGACATTACTTGTTTATTTATGACCCAACGGATTATATTTACTAACAGTGTGGATATTTTACCAAACCAGGAAATTGGAAATTATTTAAAATAAAAAAAAAAGAAAAGAAAGAGAACTCTTTACATTAACAACAACCACAATGGAGAAAATCTGATAAAATATATTTGTTAAAAAAAAAAAAAGAAAGAAGAAAGAGCGAAAGAAAGAGCGAAAGAAAAGAAAGAAATAATTATATTTGTTTATATATCTATGAACTGATTTATCATTGATGGATCATGCATTAAAAGATGGCCGCAGTGAATATTGATAATTTTCTGGATTATCGAAAAAAGGACGAAAGAATTACTGAAACTGTTAAAAGGATTTCTCAGTTTTACAAAAGAAAAACAAAAAAAAAAAAAAATTTCAACCAACTAAAAAAAAACAATAACAAACAAACAAAAAAATGAAAACAAATTACTTTGAATGAGAGTAATTAAATAATTTGTATTATCCCGTGTGACTGCGCGCGCACACACAAATATTCACTCCCGCCTTTCTTGAATCGTGTAAGCTTGAGATAACATTTCTAGCATACGACATTAACGGCTAGCAATCCACATAATTTCGATTTAAATACAACAATTCCATCAATAGACAACTAAGAACAACTATATATATCTACATCTATCTATCTATATATCTATATATATCTATATCTATATATCTATATATATATATATATATATATATATATATATATATATATATATATATATATATATATACATATGTATATATTAAGAATAATAACAAGAAACTACATTATCAACAGGAACAAATAGTTATTACTTGTAAACGCTGGGCCAGTGACTTATCTATAAAAAGTGGTGGATCAGAGATAGCATATATATATACATATATTTTTTTTTTCAAAATGCAAATTTTAGAGGAGGGCGGAGGCACTGAGGAGAGAAAGGTGTTTGAAGATGTGCTGTGACCTTAAAATATCTCCGACACCTCCTCCAGTCTCCACCACTACGGTACTACCGCCGCCACCACCACCAGAACTAGCATCCCTAACAAAGCCGCCACCATTGTCCCCACCTTAATTTTCGATACGCGGCAGGCCACAAGTTAGCCAAAGAAACATCTCCGGTGTGTTGTCAAAGAGTCAGCTAACTAGAAAAAGGGTATGCTCTTTGGGAATAGCCATGTCGCAAAAAAACAGCTTCCGGTGAGACAACGTGTTTTGAAAATACACTCCAAAGCGGTAGATGGCAACGTTACGCCAAAGTCTTCGGATCCAGCCAGATTTTCATCAATAGCTACAATGGCACCGATACCAACATTCACAACAACATCCAACGCTTCCACCAGCCCTGCCCCAACAGCAACGACGAACACGACGACGCTGACACGGAGAGAAAAACTGTGAGGTCATCGCCACCGCCACCGTCAACGTCGCCGACGTTATCTACGTCAACGACGTTGACGATGGTGCCAAACACATTGGTGTCAACGTCGTGTGGGATGTGGAGAACGAAAGACTCGTTAGGGTCTCTCTGCAATCGAAACTGTAAAAGCGATAAATTTAGCAAATCCAATTACCAAAATAAAAACTTTAACAATCCAAACAGAAATAAAAATAACTATATTAGTAATAGTAGTAGTCATAACAATCTCGATAATAATTCTAATTGTAATATGTTTAATAAGATTAACAACTATTGTCATATTAATGTCAGCTATAACGGGAACATGCCTCACGATGATGAAGTAAGTGACTTGAATCACTCGAACAGTGACAATGGCTGTGGTTTGTACGCGACAGTTCCTCACAAAATAAAAAAACACAGCCCAGCGTCAACATATACAGCATGAGTCTTTCGCACGTAAAATTCATGAAAACTACTCAAATCACCACCACTACCACCACCACTACCACCACCACCATCGCCACCACCACGCAGAAAAAAAAAAAAAAACGACGATTACCAACAGCATCAACAAAAAAACAACAACAACAGCAGCAGTATCTTAGAAGTCTCTTAAGCAACGCTTTCAGCATCAAAACATTTTCTTCCCTGTCTTTAGTTTGCCTATTACTCCTGCATCTGTTCGGACCGACCTGTGCGGACATTTGTCCCAAGGTATGCTTCTGTCAGGCTATGGCCAAGCACATCGGCTGCGCCAAAAGAGGACTTACAGAGATTCCTGATCTCATTCCAAGCGACACAAGACAACTTAGCCTGAACGAGAATCTTTTCGCCAATAAAGTATTGGTACGAAAAAACTTCTCCCGCCTTCCTAACTTAGTAGACCTGTTTCTCGACGGATGCGGCATTGAGGTAATAACGCTTGACACTTTTGCAGATCTAAGGCACCTCTCCATGCTGGACCTAAGCAACAATAAACTGCGCTATATTGAAGATTACACTTTTAGGGGTCTGTCACTAAAGCATTTATTTTGAACAGCAATCCTGGAATACAGTTCGCGCCTAAAGCCTTCACCGGGTTTCGAACTGTCGGATTGTTCCTTAGGAAATGTGGTTTGCATAACATGTCCCAAGATACAATACGACCTCTTAATGGAACATTAAAGATGATCTGGTTGAACGATAACAATTTCGAGTACCTCCCTAAGGAATGGTATTATCTGTTCAAGACGTTGAGCCACGTACGTCTGGAGAACAACCCAATGCATTGTAACTGCGAACTGGCCTGGCTCTACCAGATGTATGTAACCAACTCCAGTTTGTTCCCAGAGGACGTTGTTTTGACATGTCATTCACCCCGGCGACTTAAATCGAAAGCCTTCAACGCGTTAACGATCGAAGATTTTCAGTGTCAACTCCCGATATTTCAAGGGGTCGATGTTCTTGTTGGTCCGCACGTTGGCAAATTGTCATGTGTGGCCAGAGCTGATCCGTCGCCGACGCTATTTTGGGAGGGGCCCGACGGCACGTCTGAAGTCTACGAGCCCTCCGAAGATAGAGCAGTCAAAACAACAGAGGGGTACTATTTATTCACAATCATCACACTAGCACCAATGCTCGTTACAAGTGCATCGCGAACAACCCGGCTGGTAATGTGACCTTTACACTGCAGGTGACCTGGCCCTGAGTGGCTCAACCACGCGACAAGTCGTAACCACTGTTCCGATGGAAAACAGCCTGCTCAAATCTCACGGTCGAAGTTCGAACCAGTCGGCCATGAACATGACCGACCTCACGGCGGACGTTCTTTTCACTCTGATGGAGCTGATTGGAGCCGTCATCAGGACGTTCCTTTTACCTTTCTGCTTTGTATCTTAGTCTTTCATTTTTTTGCCGGCAACAACGCTCCATGGGTCCACAAGATAGGGACCATTCAGAGAAACGGCGAACTCCTGAGAACCATTATGTCATGGCTGACATTGATGAGAGCTCTATCAAAATGATGGAACACAAAGACCTTGTGAGTTAATCGATAACATTAATCGATAACCTTAATAATTTTAATAAAATTATTGCATATTGAAAAAGTAGAGGAAGAAGAAGCAGGAGACGAAAAAAAAAAGTTGGAGAAATTATATTTAAATAAAACATTAAGAAGACGGGAAAAGAAAAAAAAAACTTTAAATAAAATTATAATCCAGGGCAAAAAACAAAAAAAAAAAAAAAAAAAAAAAAAACAAATCAAAACAAAACAAAATAAAACACATGAAAAAAAAAAAAACAAAAAAAAAAACAACAAAAAAAAAAAAAAAAAAAACAGGCATTTTGAAGGAAGTGTATTTTTTTTCTTAAAGAAAGGACATTGTACTGGGGAAATATTTTTTATTATATGAAAAGGAAAAGTCTTTCTTTATTCAAAGAAAAGAGGAGAGAAATGCCCAAATCCCAGTCAACCGTACAGACTACGTATGGCGCGTGTAATACGTGTAAATGTGGCTGTTACGAGGGTGGCTCAATAGCATTGGTGTGCTCTCGTCACAGTCTGGCGGAAAGTAAACAGAATAAGGGAGAACGACAATAGAACATAAACTCAAAACAAAAGAAAATAAGAAAAACGAAAGAAGTTGATTGTAAGACTTCAAATAACTGCAAGGTGCTGTTTTTGTTGTATATTTTTACAAGTATTAAAAAAAAAGAAACAATGATAGTTATAAAATTAAAAAAAACATTAATGGTCAAAACGATACTGTAAAAAAAAAAAAAGACAAAATCATAAAATTAAATGAACCCAATTTGTAGAATTTAATCATATAAAACTATTATCATCATCATCGTCATCATCGATATTTCATAATACTGATGGTGACGATGATGATGATTGCCTTGTCGAATTTTTTAAAAAAATCATAAAAAAATATCAAAGAAAAAAAAAGAAACAAACTTATAACCTAAATTTAACTCAAACTAATGAAAACAAAAAATGAATATAAAATAAAATAACAAACAACACAAAACAAATGAAAACCTACAAAAAACCTCATATATATATATATATATATATATATATATATATATATATATATATATATATATATATATATATATATATATATATATATATATATATATATATATATATATATATATATATATATATATATATATATATATATAACATGTGACTATCCCATTTTCCTGGTTCTTTGCTGTGGTGGGCATTATTTCTGAACCATGATAGGAAAATGGGAAACAAACTTGGATATATTATTACCATTAGAAGCAGTGGATATTTAAAAACTACCAGAGAAGAAAAATGTAAGTAAAAAAAAGTAAATAAATAAAACAAATTTAAAATCACATATTGGGGTGGGAACTGGAAAACCGAGATACTCGGTCAGGACCAATAACATTGCAGATTCTCCTTTACTCTACCGAATCTCTAAATATATATTACAAAATAGAAAGATGTGGCAGCAATATTCAAAGAAAGACAGATGGTAATTTGAACATTTTTCTTTGAAACTAACTTTTCTTAGCTGAAAAATCGTAATTGATTCAAAAAACTTTTTCCAATTTATGTATCTAAAAACGTTCATCAGGAGGAAAAATAAAAGAAAAAAACAATCTGAATTTTTAGCATCAAATATAGATGTCCGATTTACAAAATCATTTAATTTATCTGACTGATCGTTGAGATTTGGTTGACATATTCCTCTCTATCATTTCATTTATGCAGTAAATCCTTTCAGGCAGCATAATTATCAGGCAAAAGCCCTGATTATTATACCTAACCCTATGGATTATTGTAACAATGATTATTGAAAAAAACATAACTTTCAATTTAACAATAGCTGTTTTAAATGATTATTCCAGTGCTGACATGATTATCGACGCATTTTGCAACACAATTTATTTCGGTTATAAACTCGTATCATCAAATATTAAACAAAATGAACAAAACAGCAATTTTATCAACAAATACCTTGCCTACAAAACGCCCTGATAATTGTATACCCAAGACTATACCTTCGACCAGAGATTTTCTACATATTTTTTTAACTTTAGACATATTTTTATAACTCTCACCAAATTAAATTTATTGTTAGTAATTTTGAAATATTGATGGTAATTTCAATCACAAAATTCATTACTGGTAATTTTTTTATTATAACAATTAACTTTTGATTTTTTGTTTCATGTTTGTAATTTGGCCATAGCTGAGATTTCTAGCAGGTTAAACCGGATCACCCGTTGGGGACTTGGGACCAACAGCAGTTAACAGGGGTTTCAAAATCCCCCAGTTGCCTGATAAGTGACCTTCAAAAGGATATAGTTTATCGTCATACTGGAGGATTCCATCCCATTCATTCATAAATTTAATAAAGTACTAAAAATCATTCAAAAATTTAATTTATTAGGCATTACATTACATCTCTCTGCATTTTTAAAATACTTCATTTTTCTTATATAGCCTTAAGAATATTTTTTAGATCCTTTTTTTTAAAGGAAAAAGCATTGAGTTTTGATGATATTTTTTATGAGAAAAAAAATAAATTTGCCCAAAATAAAAATCCTTACTTTTAGCTTGGAGAAGTGGAAACGGTGGATAAAACGCGTCTTTAAAAAATTTTTCATTGCATTTGTTTAAAATGTCTTTTTACATATGTAGGGGGTGTCCCCCAAAAAAAATTTACCCCTATTTCGCAAACAAAAAATTTTTGTCGAAATAAAACTCAACATTTGCTAAATGGAGAGAAACAGATCAAAATTTTATATTTAATGGAAGCGGACAATATGTTTCTTATCTCAATGAAATTGCCAGAGAAATGGATCGGGCTCTGTAGATGAAGACAGTTAATAAATCAAGTTTACTTAGCAGTTTTAAGCAGTTTTTGTAAAATACTTTATCAAATACTGTTGCATAATGTATAGAACAAGGTAATACATCCTTTGCATTTGTATTGCTCTGAGCATAAATATTGTGTTCTTGTTCTAGTGTTTTTAATAAAACCTTACTTTTAAATAATTTACCTCATTTAATTTTAGATCAATAAATCTGTGTGTACAAATATGCTTGTTAATTGGTATACAAAGCAATAATGCACTTTGGCTCATCAAAGCTTGTCTCGTTGCTTTAC